TTTCCTGAACTTGGGGAAGAATTCCCTCAAACTATAACCATCCTCGTCTCCCACAAACGCGACCGCTTCAACTCATAAATACGCCCCGTTCGTAGTTTCCGAACGGACGCTGAGCCTGGCTCTGGTGAACCCCAAACACGATCTGCCCGTTTGGGATTGCTCGAACTTGTGAATGACACTGCATCGCGCCGCTATAAATCAAAAATGTAGTAAATAAATTATTCTCCTAGATAGGAATTAATAAAGTAAGGTTAATCGAACAAGAAATTGCGCAGGTCGCAGTTGCACGAGAGGCTCACCATGAAACGTGAAATAAACTTGCTCTATCATATTGGTTTTGCTCGTGAACTTGTTTGTGAAGCGTCAGCGAACAACATAATGCTGTGCAGCTATAGTGAAAAAAGCTGCAGGGAAATCTTCTACGAATCATATATCAATCATCAGTACGAAACACGAGGAAAAGATGAGAAAGGAAAAAAGAAATGATCAGGGAAGAGAAGACAAGTGTCGGAAAAATGAACCTATTGATCAGTCAGCTGGATGCCGCTGCAACGATCAGTTACTGATATGATCTGCAAACCGGTAGATCAACTTATTTTCACCAGAATTAGGATTATTTTCGCTTAGTTTACATTATTGTGTACTAGTTGGAGGTTTCGTGGCGAGGTTTTTTTTCCTTTGCTTTGATGCTGAACATGTAACTATCGCAAACAATTCATCTTGGCTACCCATTTCATTTGTGTCCGAGGGTCCAAAAAAGCGAAATCTCAAAAAATTTCCAGGTTCTAGAAAAGACTCGGACCAGGGTCATATTGAGCGCATACTTCCTGAAACGCTTGAACTTTGAAACGCGCCTTCTGCGGGACCCTAACATGACCCCACTTCGAAGCTCGATGGTTTCCATGGTGTCGTTGAAATTGGTTCATATTAGCACACCTCGAAACCCTGTCCCAAACCCCAAATCTGGGGGAGGTATTTTAACCCAAGGCACCCTTGAAGGGAATGTAACACGGTACGCCCGGAGTACGGTAATCTGGATTCCGTTTTACACTTTTTTCGCAACTTAACTTTGTTGGTAGGGCGCTCCAACTATGGAAGTGCCATGGAAGTGCCACTCATCATCTACTTGAACCCTCCTCTACCCTCTCCACTATTCATGGTTCTCTTTCACATTTATTTTAGTCGTAAGTATGGCATCCCTTGTCTGAATTCGACAGCCGGCCAACTGGCCCTGAGTCCAACCATGGATGGTCTCGCGCCATTCCGTCCCATTGGCCTGTAGGAGGGCAAGCTGCGCGACAGTATTCTGTGAGCCGTCTTGGATAGTAATGACCTTTTTCTGTCATAGGAAATTGCCTTACCAAATAGTTGAAGATGAATTACCCACTCGCCTGTCATTTATCTAAATATTCCACCAGCGCGCGTGAGGATTGCTTTCGAAGAAGCTCGGAGGATGGCATTTTAAAAGGCCACTAAGCTTAAAGCGCTATATACTCAGTTGTCCTCGAAGGACCTTGACAAGGGAGCACTGGTGTCTCAGGTATGGGGGGTATCGCTGTGTGAGCTGAAATGGGACGTTCCGGAAAAGAAGAGCACTTCGGGAAAATCAAGTGATTATACATCCTCTCCCTAGTCTACCCCTTAAGGCCTTATTCTAGGGCTATTGTAAGGAGAGGGGCTCTCTGGTCCAAAAAAATGACTCAGGGAGCCGAGATAATGTGGACCAATGCGACAGCCGTACGCGACTGCGTGAAAAACTTTCTCTTATGTTTTGCCGGTTTTTTCAACTTTCTATTGCATTGTAGCTGTTGTTTTAGTTATTTTAGTTATTTCTGAGGGTTTTGCACTATCTTTTTTCACGAATCTGTTTTTAGCTTTCTTTCACAGCTTCCTGGTCGGTTAGAGTGCTTCTCCTAACTTATTGGTACGTTATACATTGCTTACAGCTTTGAAACCTTTTCAAAAGCATGTATTAACCATGATTTTTTCGTTTTCCGCGTGTGAAGAATTATTGGAAACGCTGTCTGTTTTTAAATGGGGCAGTTTTTTACAGATTATTCATGTACGCTAGATTTTGAATCTATTTAAAATGTCGGTCTCATCGCATTCCTCAGGAGCTGGAAGTCGTGTGGGTTCACCTGAGGATGAAAATGGAAACTCAAGGTTGGTCTGTCTGAACCGATCTAGGACCATCTGTTTTGCTAACAGCTTTTTATTTTACTTTTATTTTTATTTTGTTCCACTTTTAGATCTCAGTTACCAGCCTCACCAACTACTGCAAAACAAGATCGCTTTGCAGGTTTGTTGATGTTTATAGAACTTAGAAATCAAGCTGTTGGCCATCAGTTTTATAGATTTGGTATTTTCAGGTAATCATTATCTATTTTCAGATCTTAAAAGACGTTCAGCTTATGCGTTTAGTATTTTTGCTAATGAAGAGCGAGAAAAGCTTATGAAGACACATCCCGACTTGCCGATGGGGCTTGTGACACGGATGGTGGGTAACCAGATTTTGATCAAATTAGCGTTCTTTTTAACAAGTTAAGAAGTTCAATTTAGATGGTTGAGAAATGGAAGGGTCTTGACACAGAGGCAAAAGATGCCATATTTTGAAGCTGCTCGAACGTCGCCTTTGAAAACCAAAAAGGTTGGACTTGATTCTGCTTGTTATTTTGAAGTTGGTCCCGAACCAGGAGAATTTACGAGTTGTTCAGGCTAGACTATGATGTAGCGTATTTTTGCTTATTTTTGGTCAAAGGTACGGGGCAATAAGGCGATTTGCCCTAGCTCTAAACATGCAAAACATGGGCACACGTCGACGAGATGATTCGTATGGAAAGATAATCCTGTATTTTTCTGCACATAGCTTTTTTTAGCCTGCCGACGCTATCCCTGAATCAATTCCTTCGAAGAAACTACGTCCTATTATCCCCTATACGAAAATCTCTTTACCTGTAAATGATCAGCCTATCCGAGTAGAAACCGTCACGGAGCAACAGCCAGGAAAAGTCATTTTTGTCCAAGGTAAGCTACGTTTTCGTCTCAGTTGGTTCAATTTCTGCTTGATCGAAGGCATTTTTTGCTTCAAATTTTATAGTCCGTCCTTTATTCGCTTCCTTCTTTTTTGTTTTCTTATTTGTGCTCAAAATTTGTTGGGACGATTTTTTTCTTTCTGTCCACGTTAGGCTGCTTTTTCCATTGCAAGTCCTCTTGGCTGGCTGGTATTCTGTTGTGGACCCCTAAATGTGGCTGTACCGCGAAAGCTCAAA